TATATATATATATATATATATATATATATATATATATATATATATATGAATATAAATTTAGCTCTCAGCTCTTGGCAATCAGTCCGAATGTGTCAGGATCAGGCACAGGGAGAGTTAAGTATCTTTCATATCTTCTGCTCTGTCTCCAGAGCAAAGGGCTATGTTTTCATAGGCAACCAAAGAAAGCGTACTAGATGGATGGATGACGGTTGGATGGATGGACAGATGAATAGTGAATAAAAGACTCAAACCTCTCCGAGATATCTGTTTGAATCCTTTGGCCCACACCACTCATGTATCCACCTACTCGGTTAGCCATCATTGTCTCAGCACCTTTCTGTGCCAACCTTTGTGCCTGGCCAAAGACTTGCAGAAGAATGATCACCAAATGAGTTGAACACTCCTCCTGCCTTCGCAGCTGCAGCTCTCTGGCTTGAGGCAGAAGCTGGGTATGAGTTTATCTCAATGCTCACTGCAACTTCGAATATACCCCTGGTTCTGAAGCTGAGCTTGTAAAGACCAAAGCTATAGAGGGAGTTACAGTTGTTATGGCCCTTCCACCTTCTAGCATCTCAAGCCTAGAATGCCTGCGTTATACTATTACCTCACTCTGGGTCTTCACAGTTCTCCTGACAGGCTGGGAGAAGGGAGGAGAGGCTACTGCCTACTGATGAAGACAGTTAGGCACAGAAAGGAAAGGGACTTTCCAAACTCTGTTAGAACGGGGCAATGAGAAAATAACTCAGTGCTTTCCAGCCCCTGGGCCCCACAGCTAGCATCCCAGACACTGGTTAACAACACCTGAAACCTCGCTGTCTGGCTCAGGACTGTTGGCACAAACTGGGCATTGCCTGGTGGTTTTAGGGAGACATCTGTGAATAGGAAAGCAGCCACGCTGACACCTAAAGCAATTGAATCCTCAGATCGAAGTTCCACTCCATCAAAGCCACCAGCAGCAGCTGCAGCCCCCAGAGTCTGCTTCTACCAGAATTTGATGTTGGAATGAGCAGAGTATGCCTGCAGTACTTGGTAAAGGTAGAATGAATGATGGGGACCAGAAGTCCTGGGGTGAGGGGGACACATGGCTACTTGGGGAGCACTAGATGAGTGCCTGCTAGGTGCTACTCTGTGGAGTACAACATCCAGATTGGAAGTTCTAGGAAAAAAAAATCTGTCCACTGGACATGCACAGACCTTTCTGGTCAGTATTTCTAACACATAAAATACAATCATTTCCATAGTATTAAGAGTGACAACTGTAAGAAATGACCAAAGTACAGGGGGAGCTGTGCATAGTTATTTAGATACAAAAGTCTCCCACAGCAGCGGGAGTATTTAGTTATCCATTAGAGACTGGGGATTGACGGCTACAAGGATACGTAGCAATGCACACAGGAGGGGGATGTTAAAAACCAGGGCGTTCTGTGGAGGAGCCATTGCTCCTGGAGTTCTGTTAGGCAACCAGACTGCACATTTCCTCCAGCCATGTGCCCATCCAGGTGGATGTAGACTGGAGGAATGGAAAGGGAGGTCATCTCCTGTCTTACTTTTAGCAAAGTCAGCTATCTAGGTGTACAAGAAAACCAAAGACAGGCTATGGACTGCAAGAAGAGACCAGGACAAAGAAGAGGTGTGTCCTGAAGAAAGCAAACAGGGTCACTGTTCTACTGAACACCACACAGCCCAGGCCCATTGTTCTTGCCCTTTGAAAACACATTTACATGCATGGTGCTTGTGTGTGTGTGTGTGTGTGTGTGTGTGTGTGTGTGTTTGTGTGTGTATGTGTGTGTTTGTGTGCATGCGCATGCCTGTGTGTATGTTTTATGTGTGTTTATACACATGCACATACATAAATATGTATCCCTAATTCAGAGCTTAAGTACACAGAGTGACATGTGTTTCCTATTTTCCAGTTTATTCCAGTATGCATGCACTATTTGATTGCATAAGTAGGCATTAAACCCAGCCATGGGGAAGGAGATTGGAGACCATAACATGGGAGCCTCCCCAGAAGTGCTAGTGTCTTCTCAGTCAGGCTATGAATCCTCCTCCTTGTCAGACACTGTGCTGTTGCATTCAGAGGACCCTTGGGCAGCACAGTTCACCTGTCATCCACTGCTAGAGGGATTTCAAGTTCACCCTCTATGAGTGGCACTTGCAAAGATCACCCATAACCCACAAGTCACAGTCTCTATCACAGCCTGTACCTCTGCCTCCTAAGCTTTTAGGCTGTCACAATGAATATATATCCAGAAGCATGGCCACCCAAACCTTTCTGGAAAATAATGTGAAAATCAACTTTTCTTCATTTTCATCAAACCATAGACTTAGAGACCCAGAGCTCCTGGGCTGCCAATAGGAAGAAGTGAGCAAAGGGTAAGAAGGCAGTGAGCTTAGTTCAGACTGATACTAAGAACCCACACAGGCAGCTTTCAACAAATATGATCCCCATACAGGGAATTTCCATGTAGTAAGCCCAATGGAAGTAGAGTCGCCTCCTTCTTTGTAAGGGGAAAAAACATCCATAACCACACATTGCTAGTTTTCACTGATCAATAAAGCCACCCAACTCTGATAGACAGAACAAGAAGTCAGACTTTGCCCCCCCCCCAAGCTCCATATGGCATAAGTGCTACACACGGCAACAACCATAATGTCCACGCGACCAAAGCCAGGCAAGATACAAGGTAGAGAATACAAGTGAATGCTACTCACAGTCTGGTGAGCTTCGGTGTGCTCTGGAAAAGTAATTCTGGAAGGACCTGGAGCTTGTTCTTGTTCAGACGTCTGGTGAGGAAAGGATGAATGAAAAAGATGTCAAAGGGATGACAAGAGGGTAGAGTATATACACAGACATTGCTTTGATCAATCAATCCATTCCCAGGCATTAAGAGACTTTCTAGATCTTTCAACATGTTATGCTCAACACACGGACAGTACATAGACCATTATAACAGAGTTTATAGTCAGGCTGAAAATAGCAATGCCTATTGGTCAAACCTAGCCCATTGGCTGTGTCTCCTTTCCTTGGTCACAAGTCTGGGACAGACATCACTCATTGGTGACAACTTTCTTTCCCATGGACTCCAGATAACACTTTTGGGCTTTTCACGGCATAAATTAAATATCAGAGAAAATGTTCCAAGTCTTAAATAATGGCGGGGATCAGAGCAGATGGCAGTTGCCATAGGAACAGAAAAGAGGGCAAGTCAGATCATTATGGGTTGAAGGATTCAAAAACCAATCTCTGTCATGGGGGCTCTTGGGAGCACAGCAGGGCTGCATCATGACATTCATGGGTCCTTGGCCCTTTGGCTTTTATGAAATGCTTTGTCCATGAGAAATGTTCACATATCTGTGCAAGTATAAAAATAAGTACACTATAAATCTATTGAAAGCATTCATTTCAACCTAAAAGTTTGTTTTCTTCTGAGCTAAAAGCAATTAAGACATATTTATGGGATGTGACAGTGTGGTGGGTTTTCCTCCCTGCAGCTAATAGAGAATCTAGTCCCAAGCTCTAGGTACAAAGTATGTACCTAAAACTCGAGCTGTAAAACTCGGTCCTGTAAAGGTAGATCATATGAGGTAGTTGCCAATAGAGCTGTTATGGTCTGAATCTGCAATGTTCTGCAAAGGCTCATGCTTGGTTCTCCAGTGTTGGTGCTATTTAGAGATTCTATGGAACTTTTAGGGGTAGGGTCTAGCTGGCAGAAATATATCATTAGGAAAGGGCCTTTGAAGGTTCCAATATTCTTTGGCCTTCTGGTCTACCACGGTACACATGACTTTCATTTCACATTTCGTCCTCCACCAAGTGAGCTTCTCCTCCTTGCCTTTCATGACATGATGGACTGAAACTCTCTGAAAGAGAGAGCCAAATTAAAAAAAAAAATTTACCTTCTTTACCTATGACAGGTGTTGTGGTCTCAGTGACTTAAAACTAGAAACAAAGGAAACAGCCCAAGTTTCTTTTGAGCGAGGCTGAGACTAAATGTTCAGAAAGGACCAAGGGAGACCAAACCCCTGTTGTGATGTTGATGAGGGATGCTTTCTTGAGGCTATGAACCTAGAGAGGGGCCTATTCCTAGCTAGCTCTATGCTCTTCTGTATTGCAAGTATTCATAGGTAAAATGCAGTCAACCTGGAACAATTGTTACCCCAATGTTAGAGCTAAACAAACTGAGGAGAAAAGCAGGATCCACACCCAACTTCTCCAAAATGAACTCCAAGCCTGCTCCTTCCCCTACATGCACTCCAAGAAAACCCAACTCTGGGAAGGAAGACTTACCTACTATCTCCTTTCATTCGATAGACAAAATCTTTGGTGGAACCAGGGACTCAAAGGAGGTCAGAAAGGGCCAACCGTGAGACAGAGAAGCATTAGGATGTCTCCTAATGAATGCCCTTCACAGAGCATGCAACTCAGCCCTGACAAAGTCTGTGCCACATGAGGTTGGACCAGGGATGCTGCTGAGGAAGCTTCGGATCAGAAGGAGGAGGGAACAGAAAGGCTGGGAAGTAGGACAGGAAACACACCAACCCACTGCCTGCCTCTACAATGGTCTGACTCCAATACTTGGGATCTTATTTCTAATTGTTTTAAAAGGACGGTGAAATCATACAACATGAAATTAGCTGTCTTCTCAGTTTCTAAGCACACAGTTCGGAGGTATGGGGCATAGTCGTGGGGGGCTGTATTCTCCTGGCTGTATGACTAATCTCCAGGATACTTTCGTCTCACACAACTATACTATCCATTAGACGGCTCCCTGATTTCCCTTCTAACAGCCCCAGTAGACATCATTCTACATTCAGTATCCATTAATTGCTTTCTGCTTAAATTTAAAAAAAAATCACTTTTAGTATCTTGTTTACACACTCTTATCATGAAACTGGAGAACTCAAAGCAGGGGAAACCAGTCCCCTGCTTAGAGCATTTCCTATGTGGTCAGTCATAAGTCCCTTTATAGCAAACAGAAGTCACTGGTCTCAGAGAAGACATCATGTTAGGACTGAGACTAACGAGGGTTTAGGTTTGTCTGGACGGTATTCTCACTGTAGAGCTAAGGAGAAGTTACTGAGCCCTCTGAGCCTCAGTTTTCCAAATGCAAATGACTCTACTCCTCTGGTTCCAGGAAGAACTGGAATACTGTGGACATGTGGAATACTGAATGTCACATGAAGGCCCTGGCGATAATGAAGCTAGAGAAGGCTGCTCCCACCCTCTGCTCTGCATACCAAGTGCTGTGCAAGCTGCCCCAGCAGTCTCTCCGAGTAGAGCTTAAGGCTGGGTTGTTGTTGTCCTCTTGCCTCTTACATAATAGATTCAAAGCCAAGGATCCAGGCCAGACGGAGGCCTCAGCATCTCTCAGGGGTGCTGTAGTGAGATCTGGTCATAGTCAGCTTAGCTTCAGGCCCTGAACCAGGGTTCTCAAAACCTTCACAGAATAAAAGTGCCCTGGCCCTTTCCTGTTCTTCATTTCTTCTGCGTCTTTTCATCTACAGTTGCTACTTCTTCCATCCCATCCAGACACTGATCTGCCCTGAGTACACTGCCCTTCCTGAAAAGGACTCTCTTGGCAGCCCTTTTGGGCAAGAACTGAGTCTCTCTTTGGGTTGGTCTGGAACCACCCTTGTCATCGTAATTGCACAAAATCTGGTAAGAAATCAGTTCAGACACTCAACTCTCGGTCTAGGCAAAGCCCCTAGAGTCTAGCCCACTGCCTCTTACAGTGGTGGACAGGGTATTTAGTGTGCTAAAAGCCCTAGACTAGCAGCTAAAAATAAAGCCAGCCTGGCTCTGAGGCTCCCGGAAGGGAAGGAATAGTTTTCATTTCTTTGCCGGTATTTATGGCTGGACAAAAATAAAAACACAACCAAATTTAGCCAATTGTGTTTTGTCGGCTGCTTCTCAACCCCTGAATGAGGATTCTTGGCGGCCAGGCTGGGCTCTGATCCCAGTAGCCCCAGGGCCTTTCCACCACTGACTGGTTGGTTGGTTCACGAGCCAGTTCTCCATATCAGGAGCTTAATGTTATACTTTCAGATCACTCTAAGTCTTACCCTCTTTTCCTTGGTGAAACAATTGGACAAGGGTCTGTCTTCTGCTTGTGCTCTCTGTGGGAGCACTAGCCTGGTTTGAAAGTCAGACTTCAAGCAAGGAGGCCAGTTACAGGAGTTACTGAGTATGGAATGGAGAGAAACAAGCTGTTCTCCTGAAAGTTGCAGATGGTGACTATTGGCCTTGGTGCTTTGATGCCACCTGCTTTTGATGTGACTCTGGCATTGGAAGTGGCAATCCCTAGCCATGGTTCGAGTTAGAATGAACAGTGGGCTGAACAGAGAGCCCAACGGACCTGGGCAAGGCCAGCACAGATGAGGTCAGCAGGAGGAAGGCCAGGTCAAGCTAGGGGAAGGCACATCCATGTGCTTCTCTTTTTACTATGAGCAGAAGCACCTCTGAGCTTTCCTCTGGATTAAGGTCAAAAGCCTATTGGTTGCTGAGTTGCCCTCACAGTTTTTCAGCTTCAACTGCGAAGCTTTAAGAAACGCAGCCCTGCCTTTGTAAAGGGGTTGTTGAAGACCTTGCATTTAGCCATGCGCGCCACATATGTCCAGAAGCTTTGACCACAGTTGAATTGATCCATTTCAGTCAACCATGTAGCCATCCATCTATCTGTCCATTACGCTCTCCTCCTAGTCACCTGGTCATTCATCATCTATCTTTGGTCCCTCTATCCTCCCATCTCTCCAGTTCTTTTTGAATAAAAGCCTGAAAAGACGAGTGAGATGCAATCTCTTCTTTAAGAGCATTGTATATGGTTGGGGAAGACAGACGTAAAGTATACATTGACACCATGATCTTGTAAGCAGAGGTGTCACAGGGACGTGCAGAAGGGCCGGCTAGGTAGTCCTAGTGAAACCAAGTGGCCCAAAGAGAGTCCGAGTTCCAATTGGAAGGATGAGTGGACGACTCTTCAGGAGCCACGGACAAAGAATTCTAGGTTTAGAGTATATGCATTCCTGTAGATGGCAGAGTCTGCGGGCCGTGTGAGGAGCCATCTTGTGCTGCTTTTGTGAGGAAATTGGGAGTGGCCTTTATGTAAAATAATAAGCAACAGAAAGTGTATCATCAAGAAAGCGATCATCTGGTTAGAATTTGAGGAAGTCCTCTCTGGTGGCAGTAGAGGACTGCCTGTAGAGACGTCCTCTCTGACTTGGAAGGGGTGACACCAGAGTTAAGGAGGACAGTTAAGACAGCTCTAGAGTAATCAGTGTGGGCTTCATTAGTAAAAACTAAGCACCAACGCAGAGACAGACACCAGGCATAATGGGTAGGTTTGTGAATGAATGTGAGGGAGGAGGGATTGGTAGCAATGGAGGTAGTGAAAGTGGCCCTCTGAGATCAAGCTCTGGTAATGTATCCGTCAAAATCGCTAGTCATCGAAGAGTGAGCAGAAGAGAAAAGGGAGGGGAAGGGGACAGAAGGGGAGTGTGCTACCATTCCGAACTTCTGCACCACTGAGATCTCCCAAATGTGTATTCATCCACTTAAACCTAGTACTAACACTGAAAACACAAGTCCACCTCCACTTGAAACACTTTGCACGCATTCAACTCATAGAAATGCCTAGAGGCCAACACTCTGACCGTCCCTGAAAAGAGATAACAGTGGTTGCAAAAAAGATCAGGCACTTGCCCAAAGTAAAACAGCCAGGTAGCCTGTAGCTAATGGGGAAGTAAGGCCCTTCATTATACATCAATGCTTAATATACAGTCTCATC